ATAAACGAAATCGGATTAAAGAACGGACGGCAAGCATTTTCGTATCGGTGGACGGAAAAAATTACCGACTTCCTTCCGCGTCTGGCCCCCCTGTGTCCGAGGGTAGAGACGGCGCTGTCTTATTCGTCCCGCGATAAATTTCATCGATTTTATCTCAAAGGAGATTACCGAGGGAATAAAAAATTTCTCGCGGACACGGGGGAAAATATCGCGGGTGTACGACGAAAGTAGCATTTCACCGTCGGGGATTATTATTCGACGAAAGACCGATCGCGAAATTCGAACGGGCGAGTAGAAGCACTTTGTCACTGGGGGGAGAGAAGTCGCGTAGAATTACTTTGTAGCGGTGAACAATTAACGAATGAAAAATCGCAGTTCCTAACTATTTCCAGACGGGAAGTCGCGTTCCGAGAAGTTATCTGTCAGAGTTTCGCTCGTCGGAAAGTTCGCCGGGACGTAAATCCGAGCTGGAATCGACTTGGTTCGATTCAAAAGCGAGGATAATGGCGGCCTGGCCCGGGAGGAAGTCGACGAGCGCGGTTCTTATCGCTCTCAGCGCCGAGGAGAAAGAGAGTAAATAATTTAGCCGAAGAACAGCGATCCGATTGTTCGACTCGACGGCCACTGGCGAAACAGCCAAAAGTCATCGAGCTTTTTCCCCACTTCTGCCTTTCCCCAACTTTCGCTTTCGACTTGGTCAATTGGAGGCGAAAGGAAGTTACACTTTATTCATCGAGGAACTTGCCTGACTGTTTCTAACAGGAAGATCAAGGTATTCCGGTGTGCCGACCCGTGCGAAAGCGTGAACGAACGTCGATGAATCGCGTTTAACGACGCCTCGTTACGTTTACGATCACGGCAACGAACATGGCGGGCGTACACCGTGGAACACGAATTCGGCGTTGAAAGTAAATCGAGATCACGGGACCACGTTTGTTCTAGAATTCAGAATCGCGTCTCCGCGGAGATTAAACCCGAGATTATTACCTTAAAGCCAACAATCTCGAGAGTCACGCAGTCTAACTACATTCACACTCGGCCAACTCTGGCCGAAACTTGCTCGAAAACCAAGTCTCCCAGCAACAAATTCCACTGACGTCGGATCACCTCCACCTCGTTTCTACCACCTGTTACAATCCTCTACACCGTACAGAGAAAACCTATCGCGCTCCCCGAGTCTCTGACTTCCTTTCACCCCGAACAACCCTTCTTCACGCGATACTTGGGCGAAAACTCTCGAAGACTATTCTCGGGGACCAACTATCCGACGAATCTCCTCGAGTTTCTTCTTAACGTTTCGTTAAGCTCGGATTTTTTCCGACCGAGCGTGGAAGCACGTGGCAAAAATCACCCTCGAGGAGATTCATCGGAGGGTTACACGGTGCCTGCAAGGTGGTAAAAATTCCTGGGTCGATCTCGCGGCGACACGGAAACGTGGTCTAATTTAAGAAACACCGGAGCAGAGGGAACCGCGTCGGTCGTACGGTCGATCTCGAGCCAAACGGGGGTTGCCTGGTGCGAGCGGAATGGCCGCCATAAGGTAGCTCCTCGAGGAGGAACGCGTAGAACGAGCAGCGAGGCTCGTAAGGTTGCGGCGAAACGACTTGGTAGGAGTTGCATTTTTATCCGGCCAGGCTGTGTGTCGACGTAGCAGATGAAAGCGGTTATGCCGGCTCCGTATATTGCCCGTCCTTTTGTCTCCCCGCCAGGCGCGAGCAAACACCCTCGCCCACCCCCTCACGGTTTTTCCATCTTTTGCTCTCTTCGTTGCCGCGACCTCAAAGCCGGTTCTATTTCTGGTGCCATCCGACTCGTATACTCGAGTAAACTGGCATACGACCAAATGCCGTGATACAGCGGGCCCTGCCACGCCGTACATTCTTCTCACCCCCTAACGTTATGACCCACCCCAACCTGCTCCACCCACGCCGTGGACCATTACGCTCTGCCGTGTGCCGCTTACGTTATTATTGTATAAATCAGCCGCACGCGGCGCTGAATTTTCTTCTCGTTATGTCCGACGCCGATTTCCAGCAGACCTGCGCGCTCCGCATCGATTTACCTTCGACGCGAGGCGCAGGAATTTCCCACGTCCAGGGTGGAATTTTCGCCACGGTTTTCTGCCACTGCCAGAGCTCGTAGGACGAAGAAGCCTGAGATTAACGGAGAGGGATGATGCGAGGTATAGGAGAGATGTTCGAGTACACCGGAAAGGCACGGTGGAGGAAGAACCATGTGTGTATGGTGGCCGAAGTGCGGGGTAAATCGCGATGACGTTTCAAGAGGGTGGCGCAGTTCGGGTTACCGAATAGCGAGGCAAAGTGGAAACTTTCCGCGGTCACGATGTATCACGAAGGGAACCTGCGATCCAGGGGACCTCTGCTCCGCTAGATCCCGACGTCACGAGTACCTGGAGACTAGAGGGATCCTGGAAGCCGGTGCTGATAAAAAATTTAACGCCCGACGCGAGAGATAAACGTCCACCGGTGCGATGCTCCGGCATGATACGATCTTGCCGGCTTAGATACGCGTCTCTCTGCTGCGTTATTAGTCGAGAAGGGGGACACGGGTCGAAGGCAAGGTAGCGTGGAAAAAGGTGCAAAAACGCGAACGCATCGGAAACGTTACGGTTGCACAGCGTCGATTTAATTACCGATTAATCCCAGCTTCTTTTGTTCCACCCTCTGAATAATATCTACGTTGGTCCGGCGGGCATGGCTGCTGCTCGTATCGCCACGGTTGTTTTAATAACGGCGATAAATCTACGGTTGGCTGGATGTATCCGAGGCACAGACTAGTATCTCTTTTTGTCACTGCTGGATTATTGCGTCCCTGTCTCGCGACGAAACGTCGCGGAACGGCTTCGATTCCGCTCGCTGGATATTACGACATTATTAAAAATCGCCGGGTAGAGCGCGCGACGATCGCAATTTAGATTCTTCGTCTTCGCCGCCATTTCGCCCATTCTTCTCCACCTTTCTATTTTTTCCTCCCCTGCATTCCCGCTTTCCCCCTGTCCCAAACAAATCATTCAGGTCGATCGTTTATCGTCTCGCCTCCACGCCGTTCCTCCGTTTCGCACTCGTGAAACGGCCAGTGGGAAAATGGTAACTGGATGCAGATCGGAAATGACTGCAGCTCGATAACCGGATATCTAATATCCCACCGTTTGGCCCGTCGGACGATGAAAAATACGAGCATCGGATAAGCCACGCTGTTCGCTGACCATATTCGACCGGCCACGAACGCTGTCGTTTCTCTCCTCCGCTGCTTCGACACTTCGAGCCGCGTCTTCGAGATGGCGAGAAATATTAATCGCGACGAGGAAAGGCGCACCTTTCTCGAGCGTTCTCGGTGTTAGGTATGCCACTCGAGGACGAGGGTCGCGCAAACTTTTGCTCGTAACAAGACGAACGGGTGTGCGAAAGGGAATGGATAATCAGAGGGAATTATGTAGAGGCTACCTCGCAGCCGGATGCTTTCTTCCATCGAGTCCTTCCGGAACGACGCCTCGCCAAAGTGGCGTGCATTATTCAGCCGTTGTTATTCCTCGATTAGCCGCTTCTTCGCGACGCGTGCTGTTAAACGAACTGCGAGGACCTCGCGGAGCGTCGCTTTCGATTCTGTTGCAGTATTCAGCTGACGAGGGCGCGACAGAGATCGCGTTCGAGATATATGTCCCGAGACGAGTCGCGCCGGTGGAATTAAGGATCGAATTCTCCGCCGGCGGAGGATGCAGCCGGGAAGGAAGAAAACTCATAAGAATCGATGAACCGAGTTACGGGAACCGTAGGAAATAGTTCGCGAGTTGAGAAACTCGTGAATTTAACTGAGTAATCAGTAAACTCCCATTACTCGCCCCCTCCGCGTCCCTGGGCAGAACTGCGCGGCACGAAAGGGAATGGGGTTGGGATTAATTATTTAGCCGGGAGCAATAAGATATGTCAAAGGTGGGTCTAACTACGGAACACGGAGCTGCCGGACCGGTTCATTGCTGCGTTTTATTAATGGAGCTTGCCAGTGACATAAGAAAATCGCGATTTTATTTCCCGCGGCGGGGAAGAATAATTGCACCGTATATTAGCCGGGACTGGCGTTTAAATTACTCGGCAAATTGTTGCAACGATAAAAATAGTTACCTGTATCCAGCTTACTCTGTTGGCTAATAAAATTATAGCTGCATAAATATCAACCCGCCTCGCACCCTGCGCCTTAACGAAATAAAATTCCACCCCGATGGTGGGGGTGACGCACGGAAATTCGCGCTTTCCACTCGGTTCCCTTCGTTTCTCTCTTCCTATCCCGCCAAACGATAGAGATTTTCACGCGTCGCTCCATTAAATCCCACCTATACCTCCCCGCCACCCTTTTCCCGCCCTTTTCCATCGTTTTCCGCCGCGCCCGAACTTTCTTTTAACAATCTCTATCCTTTATCTCGGCCATAAGGTAACGACGTCGTAACATGTTACTATGTTATGTATTACGCCGCTCGTAACACGGGTGTAAAGTAGCGAGGCGGGTAGGAAATAAGTCGTAACAGAGCGCTGATTTACGGGGCGCAAGTGTGCATTCCTCCGGCCCCAGTTTTAAGGGGAAGACCGCATTTGTAGCCGTACATATCGAACGAGCCTAAACGACGTCGCTCTGACAAATGTTCGTCATTAGTCGGCAACGTTTACGTACCCACCGGAACTGGTACTCGCTCTTATCGTTCGATCCATGCAATTCGTTCCTCGTTTCCTCGTCGAGACCTTTCGCAAGACCCATTCGCGATCTCTCGAAAATTCCCAAGATTTCGCGAGGAAAAAAACAAAACGCGAACGAATTTTGTCGACGCTTCGCGTTAATCTCTAAAGCATATACTCGAGGTTAATCCCGTTAAACGTCTCGAGAAGCAATTAAGAATCATCTTCGTCGAGGCCCCCGTGGCTGCAGCGTGTTTGACGCGACGGTAATTCCGTTAGGTCGTAATTTCAACATTCCGCGTGGCCCGGTTTCAGGTGTCGTGGATGAGAAGCAGAGACCTGCACATTCTCACGTCAGGAAACAACCTGTTCAGCTCGGACACGAGATTCGGGCCCCAGCACACGCCGGGAAGCGACGCGTGGACGTTGAGGCTGGACAACGCCAGGAAGACCGACTCCGGCAAGTACGAATGCCAGGTGAACACCGAGCCGAAAATGATGTATGCTGTTCAGCTGTCCGTGCGAGGTAATTGCAGCTCCTCCCGCGGCTCTCCCTTTATTTAAATCCGCCCACTAAATTGAATCGTCCTTAAGCTGGCCTTCGTTTAATAGCTTCGCCGACCGCTAACCTCGTTCAATATCCCTAGCCAGTGTCCCTAGCGCAGCGATTTTTAATTACGCGATAATGCCCGGAGAGACGAACGGTGTAACGAACAATGCGACGTTCGCGGCAATGAGAGCAGTCTCTCGCTGTCTGCGCGTCTCTCGAAATTATTTATCCTTTACACGCTCCGCCAAAGCCCATGACAAACTGTTCTTCGACGACTAACCGAGTCCTACTGTTCGTTTTTAGATCCTGACAAACCGGAGGGTTACGACGAGCCGCATTCTCAGCAGACGCGAATAAGTAAGTGAGCATCATGAGAACGGAGGTTTATTTTCGTCCGGTAGTAGTACACCGTCGTGAACGTTCCATTAGTCCCGTTTCCACCGTGTCCTCGCCATTGTGTCCGGGGATTTTAATAGGCACGGGGATAAATTTAAAGACACCCGTCGTCTAATTCCACGCGACCGTTCGTCGAATTAAATTTTCCAATCCACGGGGAACAATGTCACGGACGGTGGTGAACAGCTACCTCGCGATTCGATGCTTTTTTACACGCGTCGGGGATGATTAAGAAATATTTTCAATCAAAGCTCCGCGATAAATCGTCGTCTCCAGACTAGGGGCATTTTATTCAACGTTTCCCCGATGCACACCGACAGCGTGCACGCGTGCATACGTCCGCGATGCAATCAAAACCTCGCTGCAAGTTTTTCCCAGCTACTCGTATAAATTAATCCCGCCTTTTCCCCCCTTTTCCCCCATTCTTCCCACGAATCTCTGCACACGTGCGATTGCGGCCGAGCATACACGACTATCGAAATTCCCTCCATATCGCTCGCTCGCGAAAGCTTTTTCGTATACAAATTTGCAAATTACCAGGTCCGACCATGATCGATCCACCCCCGGCCGGATTTAAGAATACAATTTTCGCGCGATCTTCGCTCTATTCCAAACTTTCGAAAGAGGATTGCAAGTTGCCGGCAAACACAATTATTCTTCCCCGCGTTTGCCGCACCGGAAGCTAACGCGCTTGGCTGTTGACTCGCGCTGTATTTAAATCGTATTTCAGACTGGCGTCCCGATTAAAGTCGCGGGGGCGAATTTTTCGCGCGCAAATTATCCGCGGCTCTCCGTGAAAAGCAGCGAGAGCATTCGAATGACCCCGCCGTTACGAGATCGCCAACTTTTCAACCAGCAAATTGACGGATATTTCAATCGCTCGTTGAAACGCTAGTTAGAGAAATCTCGCGGACGTACCGCCGTGAAAGTTCGTGATCGCGAGATGCGTTAATACCGCGTACCCGAGTTCTAATTCTCGCGTCTCTGGCCGTAAACATAGGCCAGCGTGGAGCGAAATTTCGACGACAACCGAATGGGTACGGTTACTTAGCAGGGACTTGATAAATCGTCGAAACGTCGGTCCGCTTTCTCTACCCTTAACTATCCGCGGTATTAATGGAGCTTGATGTATCTGCGCGGAGAGGGGTACCGTGACACCTTTATACACCGTTGGCCCGTTAAAAAATCATCCGACAGGCGCTTCTTATTCCCTCCCCGGATCCAGTCGACATCAATCACTTAAAGATAAGTGCGCTTCTTCGCTGGCTCTGACGCCCGGGATCTGTCGTCGATTCTTCTTGCAGCGTCCTCCTAGACGCTTCATAATTCTCTCCAAGTTCCATCATTTCACCCCCGAGACGCGAGATTTCACCGTCCCTTTCTTCGTCGCCCGCGACTCTCAGAAATTCGTCCTCCCTGCATGCGAGACTGGCATCGACTACGAATCGACGCCCGATCTCGAGTGTGCGCGGCAAAAGCGAGCGTCGCGCGTCGCTCTTCGCATTGAAATATCCCCGGGAAAAGCGATTAACCCGCTTTAAAAATTGCGCGATAAGCGTTGCACGTTAGCGAGCGAGTGGATGGATGTGCCTAGGTGACCGATAAATCGAGGCTCTTAACGAAAGTGGAATTTAAACTGCATCGGAGAAGACTATGTGTAATTCGGGAAACTAATCCCGGGGAAATATATCGACGTGGGGTGGAAAAGGCGCGCGTGAAGTACGAGATTCCTCCGGACTGTAAATTCAAACGAAAAGAAAAGAGAAACGGGGGAAAAATTGGGAAACGAACGAGATTCGCGTGAAATTGCAGCGAGGAGAAGAGGGGGCTGGGTTTAATAAGTCTATTACTGGATGACAGATTGTACTTTACTCCGTTGGATACAATATTCTTTCGCTCTTAGCACGCGTCTCTTCGAGCAGCATTTTTAAGGGTGGGTCTTCTCTGTCAATCCGCCACGAAGATCAGAGATTTCGGTTATCGCTGCTACGCGCTCTGAGGGGGGAAAAATAAGGTATGTTTGAACGAGATTCCCTATTTTTCACGCAAAATATCACCGGAGAGGATTGATAATAATTAAAGACCGCGAGGGCGGAGACAGCGAAAGGTCTCCGGCAATTATCATCGAAGTTACCCCCGAACGGGGGTGCAAAGAAAGCAAGAGCGGCGCAGGAAGAACAGGCTGCCGCGGCGTGTACAGTAATAACGGCATAACGTAATATTTCGCCGAGGAGAAATGCAGTTCCCGGGGGATTAATTCAAGTCTAATAGGATTATCCTTAATCCTGGTAGTCGTGGAAAACCTCCTCCGGTTCTCCGGGGTCTTTTTCCTCGTCACCTGGCGCGGCCATAACCGCGCTTCCACGACCCCGCAGGAAGAGAACGTGGCGTTAAATGAGTCTCAACCATCGCCTCTCCTCTGTACCCCCCGTTGAATAATGTATGCTTGTCCCGACATTATCATACACCATGGGGGCCACCCCTTACGAGACACGCGCTACGCGGCTCCCATTGTTTTTCCCTTTCGCCTCGTAATGAATTATTAGGCCGCCTCGTTGTCCCGCGCACGAGAACGGTTCTCTTGTTTCCTCGCACTTCAAACTCCAATTTCCGTAGCGAGGATCCGACTACCTAAAGCGAACTACCACCAGCCTCTTTCCGTCTCTCCTTCGCGCTCTTCACCCGTTGTCTTCTTATTTTTCCTCAGCCTTGGTCCGTGGAAATAGGTCGCGTTTTAATACAGCCAGACTTAAGTCTCGAATCGTAATTGTGATCTCTTTGCGCCGCCTTCGCGGCTATTCGGCTATTCAAAGGGATTTTCAGGTTATTCTCGCGGATTCTCTCTGTCCCTGAGCACGAATCTCGCGGTCTTTCGTTTCCCGGATCCGCAGTTTCGGAATTCCGAAGCTAACCTACGCGATGGTCGCGAAACACCGACGAGTTTAGGATTTTTCGCGATCGATTTTTCGGCGAGGTCGCGCTCGCATCGCGGTTCGATTTCAAGCGGGAATTGGAGCGAGTGGAACGGCCTCGCATGGCGTGAGAAGAACACGTCGTTTCACGGTGGCACGCATATTAAACGGCCACTTGTGCCGACCCTCTAAATTAAAATGTACAAACTTGACAGTACGTCCTGCACGGAAACCGTGTTACGCCGTTCTTTTTCCCAGCTCCGACGTTGTAAAGCTGTGCGCCAACGTCTCGCTCGCGAGTGGATTGTCGACGCTGGAATTAATTTAAATTATCGCGTGACACTCGTCTGGGGTCCTTAGTAGCGCGTATCAAAGCGGTCGATTAAAGGGAGATCCTTCTCGCGGATCCGGACACCGCGCTCCACGATTAAAATGTATCCAGTCGAAGAATGGATCGCGTCAATTAACAGGTAGCGATCGGTGCACCGAGTCGACGATGCCAATTAAAAAGTTAGCAAGAGTTCCTGCGATCGACGGGTTTCGCAATTCCTTCGGCGAACGCTATTTTCGCGGGCGATAATTAATTCGCGCGACAAACGAAAGCGAGAAATTATTACCGGTTCTCGAAACGAAGTTCGTCGTCCCCCTTTTGGTCACATCGTTCCGTAAATCTTGACTTCGTTCAGCAGCAGCGTTTTTAATGAATCTACTTTTTCAGCTAGGAAGGCATAAAACACGTTCCGTTCTTTTTCCCGCAAGGTCCTCTCTCCGTGTAATTACTTTCTTCTCGGATCTCCGGGCTATAAGCTGTTTAACATTGTTTTAAACGCACGGAGGCTGGTAGCTTTATTTAAACGAATACGCGCAAGAAGGGCACTTTTTAAATCTACGAAGCGTAAATCCTCGTGAACCGAAGCGGATAAAAATCCGCGAAATGTTTCGTTATTTTAGAAATTACTTCACCGATGCCGAGATTGTAAATTTTTGGCGAATTGTGTCGAGTGACACCGATACCGAATATCGAAAAGGGCAAACCGAGATAAGTTTCGTGGCCCGTTTAACGGTACCCTAAATTTTGATCGACACTGCCGTCGTATGATAGTTGTTCCTACATGACTTGCAGGTTACGAGAGCACGGCGCCAGTGGCGGCCATAATGGGTCCTCGGGAGCAGAGGGTGTCATCGGGGACGACGATCACCTTGAGGTGCGTCATATTGTCCCCGTATCAGACCCGGCCCATCAGGGGTGTGCAGTGGCTCCGGGATAACAAACTCCTAACATTCCAGGTAATGCAGCTCAGCGTCTACTCGCGAGGCGTACTCTAATGAAATTTTTTACGTCGACTCCTCCTTTTCCGACGCCACCTCGCGTTCACCCTCGAGAATCTCGTCTCGAAGGAAAGAAATACGATCGTAAATCATCGGCGTGACGGGGAGACGCGACTCGCGCCGAACGCGAAGCCTGCTTCAGCCAGGCAGATTTTTGTTTACACCGTTTTCTTCGTCCACGGGGGTTCAAAGGGAACATTGATACCGACGATCGCGTCGAAATCGAGCGTCGAATCTACGCGAGTATCGATCAAAAAGAACGTTTCGTGTTAAGAAACCGTCGATCGCGTGGAAATTGTGTGTCGATGGAAAAGAAGATGGCGCGTGTCGAAAGCTGACTTTTCAACTCGCGCGAGGTTTACACGCGTTCGTCGTTCGCGAAGGTTGCACGGGGCGGGAGTAATTACAACGAAGGTTTAAATCGATTCATAGGGGGATGAAAAATGCGCGATCGGGGGGACGATAGGCGAACTGGTGAAAATTTGTCCGTGGAAGTTATGCGCGATTCATCTCGGCAGATTTATCACGAAATTACAAACTGTGGACGTTTCGGGGTGGGTGTAGCGCGAACAGGGTGGCCGGAGATTTATTTAATTTTCCGCACTTGCGATATTTTTCGATCGTAATATTCGCACTGTCAACATCCGCGGATACCGTTCGCGGGATGATGTGTGTTCTGCAGGTAAAAGGGTATTAATTGTAAATATGTACACGGCGATTTGCGAGTCCGTTGACGTAACCGGATGTTCGAGCAGGTGCCGCGTGGGGGGGAAAAAAAGTGCTGGATCCGAATTATCCGTCGCAATTGTCGTGTTTGCACTGTTTTCAGGCTGCACGAGGGGGCATAAACGTGGAGACTGAAAGAGGCGCGGCTCGAACAGTCTCGGAATTGACTCTGGCAGCGGTCACGCCGCACGACATTGGAAAATATTCGTGCAGACCGTCCGAGGGGCGATCGGACACCATAATGCTGCTCGTCGATCCAGGTTAGCCTTCAAAAGTCTCTCAACCCTTTGACAGACGAATACACCTGCCTGGAAACGTTTCACGAAACGAAACATTTTATCCGTTTATCTCCGACGACACACCGATCGATCACTCGACGTACGACTGTGTAACGATAATAATTTCTCGTCGAGGATACAGCGCGCGAAATAATTGCATTTTGCACGAAATAAAATATCTCCTGGCACGTACACGTCCACGGGAGTCAAAGGGTTGGGAGAGCTTGGAAATTTTATCTCGCCCGAATCGATTTCGCTCTCTTTATTTAAAAATATACTCCCCATTTTTCAATTCCTCGCCCCTTTATTTCCGCTTTCAGTTGCTTTATATTTGATACGACAGGGATTTAAAACCGGTTTAATGACCCAACCCCTATCGCGCCAGGGCTGGCGGAAAAATACGATCGAAGTATCGTACAAACGTCTCCGCGTAATGGCGGACGTTCAGTGCAAATTGCCGCCATAAAAGCTAACCCTAAATCGTCGTTCCACCGCGATCAAACCGCAGAACAAGAACCTTCCTCCATGAAGCTCATCGGCCGGAGCATTACGAGCAGCGGACGCGGGCATTTGTATTCGATTCACCGTAACGTCTTGGTGCGCGTCGTGCAACGGCTATGGGAAAAATACGCGGGAAAAGAGCAACGAAAAGAGGGGGAAGGGGGGAGTGTAAAGAAAGACGACGGAAAAGAGAAGAAAGCGAAAGAGGGGTAAGAACGAGGGAAAAAGGAGAACCGGCGGTCGCTGGAAAGGGTATCCCCATGATCTAAAGTCGCGCCTTAGGATTACTCGAAACACTTTAAAGTTTTAAGGAGGCGACGGTATTTCACGGCGGGACTATTTGTCTAGCTCAGCCTCTTGGTTCGCCGCGGATGTCGTTTGGGGGTCGGCAAGAAAGAGGGAAAATCCCGGGGAAAACGGGCGTGCATGTGTCCGCCGGTGAGAAATAGAGAAGGAAAGGGTGGCACGAGCTGCGGAGAGACCTTGTTGGAAGGGAAAAGAAAAGAGGGCGGAAGGTGGAGAGGTTCGGTGAAAAGGAGGGCCCCGAGAAGGGCAGAGGAGTGGCGTAAGCACGCTTGCATGCGGAATTCACAGGCAGTAGTCTCTATTATCGTGAATTTTCCTTCGGAAGTTATCGCGAGGAAGCGGCGGGCCGCGCGACGTCGCATTTTTCCCGGGCGACCGACGCCCACCGGCGCTCCGTGTACGCGTACGTATACATACGTACCAGCCGAGCTATTCCTTTTCTTTTGTCCCGTGTACGGGGCGATGGAACGCGCCGTAAATCACAACTTCGCCGACTCGTTTCGTAGTTTCGCAGATTGCGAATTTACGCGGTTTATAGCCAACGTTCCAGCTACCGCCTTCCCCCTCGATCTTACCGGCTCGTTCCCCTGATTTCGTCGGTTTACGAAGCTGCGAGAGGCCCTTAGGCTTCCTCGGTTATGATGTTCTTTGGACTTTCGACGAGTTTTAAACGTCATTTCCGCGCAACCGGACGACGAACGCGCGATGAGAACGGCGCGAATTAATCGAACGGTTTCCATATAAAATACTTGTTTTGGCAGTAAATGAAAAACGAACGGAGAAGAGTCGTTCGTTATACCGAGTGGGCAACATTTCGCGCCGTTCCGTTATAATCGATGTTGCAGGGATACCGGCCGTTGTTGATAAATCAGAGTTTCGGCGAATCGCCGTACGGTCCTCGAAATTGCGAATTCACGGCAGTTTATGGGCCAGGTCGAGTAGCTGCTTTCGAAAAGAATTACCACCCGGCTGGAATTAAACGCTACCGTCACGGTGCTTCGACACCGAGATGATTTTTACGAGCCAACACCGACGCAAATATCCCCATAAATAACGCCATAAATGCCGCGTGAATTGTGCGCCCCGTTGAAACACCCGGCAGAAACCGAGGAACAACGAAATTGTAAACACTCGAGCCAGGTTGGCAAGAAAACCAATTACCGCTAATTACAAGCGCTATTCGATCGATCGATAAAATCACGTTAACAGGCTTACCTCTGTGTAACCGTATCCCAGGATGCTGCGAATTTGTTAGCGTTTCCTCTTGCGAAACTCCAAACGGAACACTGGCCAACCACTCGCGTCGATTCACCTCGTTGTCCTTCGTCGCTTATCTCCGATACACCTCGTCTCAAGTTCCACGAGCGACTGATCGCGCACCGTACACAAAGTTTCACCTCTGTGTGCCGGACTGGAAGACGTCGTTGACCAAGGCCACGTATTATTTTCAACTCGGGACATCGGCTCGGCGGATCGTAAACGGAACTTATTTTCCTTGTACGCTTCAACAGCGTCAAAGCGAACGCCGTTACACGCAAATCCAGCGGAAACGTCGCGACCGGCGACATAAATCACAAGTCGGACGAGTCGCCCCGCCATTTCGCGGATTACGAATTCGCGCGTTTCACTGCGAATTCAGAGGCATCTCGGATCAAACGTTGTTTCACGATTGCGTGCGCCCGTATGCACATTCCATGAACGCGGAAATTATCCGTAACTCGTGGCTCGCGCGTAATTAACCGCACGGCGGGAAAGTTAACTTAAATAACGAACTGGGCGGCGTGGCACGGTTTTATTAATCGATCCGGCGGTCGAACAAAATCGGCACGCCGTGATTAATTAATCTGCGGGTGTCCGTAAAGGGAACGGAGAGAAAAATGACTTCCCGTCGGCTTTCTAACGAACGTCGACCGTTGGAAACGATCCGCGTTAATTTTTCACGCCACCGGGACGATTCCGCTTGACGATCGCGCGGCCATCGGGGCCGAGCGTATTTCCGAATCGGCTCGCTGACGCAAATGGTCCACCCGCGGCCAGAGGAGGCGATATTTCCATTAGAAGCTGAAATACACGAGGAATTAGCGTCGCCTGAACTCCCATCGATACAGCCGCTGGCAAGAAACGTCATTTGGCTGATTCGTCGAATGCGGCGCGAGATTTAACGACTTTTCCGGAAGCGAACGAGCAAAAACCGGTGGAGTACAGTGCCAGTCCGCGGTGCAAAGCCGGCTTTTTGCCGCAAGACCGGCTTGCTGTCTGAGCTAATTCTTATGCGATCGTAAATAACGTCGCGCATATATCAAAACTTACAGCGACTACCCATCCCAGAGTTCTCGCAATCGTCGCAACAATCCTGTCTTATCCCTGCCTTCTTCGTCCTTCCATCTTCTATCCTCCTTCGTCGAGCCTCTTTCCGGCTCTCTCCGTCTTTCTCGGTCCCATTCGCTCGCTCTCACTCCCATTTCCACCCTCTTCATCCGTTTCTGGTTTCATCCCGAGTCAGACCCAAGCCACACTCTCTCGTTCGGTGACAGAAGCTGCCAGAAGCACTTCCAGCGGCCAGATTAAAGATACAATTCCGCGATTCTATTAATTAAGAAAGTTAATTACGCCGGAATTCAATTTTCCTAATTGCACATCACTCTGAGTCCTCTCTCTCTCTCTCTTGCTTCCCGTCCTATCCTCGATATCTTCATACCGTCTCGCTGCAAGGACACTCCAACCGATTCGTCCTAAAGTTTCCACCGTCCTTCCACTCGTCTCGCTTCTTCCATTTCGCTTCATTTTCCCTCCATTTCCCTCCCTACTCTCGCGCCTTTTCGCTATCTCGCGTCAGGTGATTCCTCCCACGTTCGATTCCGACACCGCCGCCATCTTCCTTGGTTCCTCAGCGATCTTCGATCTTCCAGGAATCATCGTGGAATCTTCGCGTTCTACTTAATCCTCCAGGATTTCTCCTCGACCGATCGCGGCTACTCGCGTCTTCGTCGTCTCCTTCGCGAGAAGAGGTCTTGATATTTGGCTCGCATTCAGCGCGCGCGTCGTTAAGAACGGCGATGAGCTTTTAGCGCTGTTGCGTTCGGATTACGAGTTGAACAGTTTGCCCGGGAAAAATTTGGCTAACGACTAGGCGGCCCTAATAGCACGGAAACTGCAGTTAAAAGCTGCGCTTTAACGACGTGTAGCGTAGGAAAGAATTTTTTTCTCGCTATCTCAACAGCGGGCACGAAGTTTCGCTTAACTGCCGGATCATTACTTAACCCGGAGGGAAAAAATGGAAAAGAATCGCGGAGGTCCGCGGTGCGATAACACGCATAATGGTAATCTCTAACGGCGTGTCGCTAATCTCGGGGACGCGCGAGAAGAGGAGTTTCATCGTGGATGGTGAAATTCATGGCAGAGACGCGAGTTTGTCACGGGAGAAGAGGACACTCGTACACGGGACGATGCATCCAACGCGATGCAAGTATTCGCAATCTCGCCGGGCCGAAGCTCGATAATGGCTGTAATAATAATTTCTAACGGCGCGCCATTGATCTTGACGTCACGAGGTACGAGAGTATCATCATTGACCTTAATAAGATTCGCAGTCGAGGATAGTTTAAGGCCAACGCTGCCGGGCCTTGTGAATCAGCCTTTAAGAGCGCCACTGATCTGGTTCACCGAGGTTGGCGGCCGGCCTTATTGGGTCACTGGTAGTGGTAATGGATCGTATAAATCAGCCATAAGTGCTCCGCTAAGCTAGCCTGCTAAGCTTACCAAAGAACTGTAGATCACCGGTGCGCTGCTATCAGACGCTACGAATTAAATATAGGATGCAGTGATTAAAGAAAATTATTAAGGCCAGCCTGGGCAATCTGTGGCGTTCGAGCGATCCCAAGGGAGAGGAAGCTTTATCGCTGCGAATTATCGTGCAACCATTACGCCGCTAATTGGCCCGCGATTTTACTCATTGTTTTCCACTCTGTACGCCAAGCTGCACTGTCGTTTCATCGTTTCGTTATCGACGGCGGTATCGATAATATCAATTACCATTTTTCCGATATGCTCCGCTTTTGTCGTCATCGATGACATCGCAATTCCCTCCCGGTCATCGGCGTTCATCGCGAGACTGGACATTAAATCGTTGACGTAACTTTTGCTCGCTGCAAGTCGATTCGTTAATGCGAAAGTCTGTTTCCGTTGTCACGGGCACAAGGAGAGGAGTTCGGGTTCCGACTAGCACGGAATCGCGAGTGATCTACAAGCTCGAAAAGTTGAGGAAGAGCTACTCCACGACTGGGCTGGCTTTCCCGGAGAAACTCTTGCAAATTGTCCCGTATCCCACGCGTTTCCGTAGTTGATCCTTCTTCGAGCGTTGCTCGACTACTTTGCAAATGTTTTGGGAGTCATTAAACCGATCGATATCCAAACTTGCACGAACACTCTCGCGATTGTCTGCTCGCAAACACGCGGAGAGCAGACTTTCCTGCCGCGCGTATATTTTCTCGCCCTGTAGCCTGCCGGCGCACTAGTTTCTCTTCGTATCACTGTTCCGCAGCGACTCGGATCTCCAGAGACCGAGTATTTCCACGCGACTGACGAGAAAAAATGCCGGCTTTTCGCCGTGTTTTGAAAATTTAATTGGTCCACTCGGGACTGCGAGCTGTTTGGGAGAGTTTGACGGATCGAAAGGGAATAAAACGCGTTCCGCGATCGAGACTTCTTTTAATAACATTTTAATAACGCGAGGGCGCGAATGAATTCTCTCGCTTCAATTCGGCCAGGAAATTTAATAATCGTAGGAGGTCGAGGTTAAAGCCGGGGGGGAAAGAGAAGAAGAGAAAAAGAAAGGGCAGGAGATGAAATTTGGAGCCGTATAAATGGTCGTTCTGGGAGTCGTTAGGTATTAAACTCTCCACTAACTTTAGCGCCGTGTTGCCTGCTTCGAGTACATATATATATATATTTAAAAATCTCAAAGGCACCCATGAATCCCTGCGCCGAGGCGACACATTGGTGCACCGGGATCTAGACGGGCGGAAAATAACGTTAGAACTTATTATGGGGGTTATGATATGGGTGTCTCACTTCGTAAATCGCGCGTAACTCTGAATAATGATTTTACTTTTCCTATCCAACGGGGAGTTTGCTTCCAAATGAAACGAAATGGAGTATCTCTTTCCCCCCAGATTTAACGCTGCGTTTCATCCAAATTGTACAAAAATTTGCCGAACAATTCGGGATTGTTCACCTGTACGGAGTGAAGAAAAGCAGAATACGCGGAGGAATTTCAACGACAGATGCTCGGAACGCAGCCACGGAGATCATCGATTAATGCCAAGCAACCGAAAATCCATCGATACCCTACCACTCTAATTAAACGGTCAATTGACCGTGCCCTGCCCGGGCAGCCAATTAACTACCCTTGATACCTACCCTCGACAAAGGACTGGGAGCGGATCGCACGCTGGTGTCCGGAATCCGTCGTGATCTTCTGGCCACGAGGCGCCAAGTAGAACAGACTACTCGAATACCGAGGAAATTGTGTAAACCGCAGGCCATAGGCACTAATACCCGGGACGTTCATCGACCGTGAAGCAAATCGCGTTGACAAAGATTTAGGATCCTTCCTCTTTACCTCGGATTCCTCCTCCGTTCGCGTTAACAAAGGAATTTCTAATCGTTACTTCCCCCTCGCGATCTATCGCACCTGTCATCTTAATTTCCCATAACGTTTCCACGGTAAATTCGGCAGTCGAGTTCGGAGAACCTTATGGTACCCTTATGGTAGAACTTCGATACGGATCTCGAGATCAACCGCTATCGCAGCGCGGAGAAGCGAAAAAGATCGGCGGCAGACATTAACGTCGCATTAGGGAATATAAATTCTATTTGAAGGGAAGGAATGGCGGAGCCAGGGTTCTGCTAAGTCATTTTAAAGCATTCTACTCGGCATCAGAGGCGTTCCGCTATTGACCGGACCGACGATTCCGCTAGAGATATGAATTTCATGCGGACATCTGATAGTAAATGGACCTATGTTATGCGCGCTGGCATGCGACGCGACTTTAGAAACGAATGCCGATACTATGCAATCAATCATGATCGATTTCGGACGGGAATCGCTGTCCGTTCAATAATCTATTAATTAGAAGACCCGAGATCAGCTGACCGAATGCACCAGGACATTCGTTCGATGACGGCGAAGCGAGAGATCGACGAGATGTCGGCGAACGAAAATTTCGAGAGCTAGCTAGAGCAGAGGAGCTTGATCGTCGGAGAACACGGGAACAATTGCCATGGAAACCGATGAATTTTCACCGCGAATGAACCACCGGGATCGCGTCCGAAACCAAAGTATCGTTTCCGAGGAGGAAAAACTGGAGGAAGCCGGAAATTTATTAGTTTCCAATGTACATAGACCAGTGCAGACCAGTTTTTACCTCGTAAAATACACCTACTTCCACCACTAGAGGATCAGGCCTGCGTAATCGCGGAGGAAATCGTTAAAAGTGGTAGCTGTTAGCGGTTCGTCGGAAAAAGAATGAAGATCTTGTCGGTGTTGGTGGTCGTAAAGGGACGTTGAAGCGGAAGTGCGCCAGCATCGCTGGCCCCAAGGAGCCAACAGCCATAATCGAAGCTTTCGCGTCGTTAACGACTTTAACTAACTTTCTTGTCGAACTCGAGCAGCTCGTCTAAATTCCATAACGAAAATTCCACCAATTTTTTAAAACCTCGTTTCCCTGCTATTCGATTAACTCTTCGGCCATGACGGGGCAGCTCGAGCTGTAATTTCCAGGAAAAACTATCTGCAACTTTACCTCGTCGACTTACTCTCCGATTAGACAATCTTCTCTCGCTAATCGTTCGCCGAGAGAAACTTAAAGCGTCCCCCTGCGACAATTTAATATCGCGGAAACGTTAAACCGCGGCAATGCTCCGCGTACGCGAAGCCACGCCTTGCGAAATAGCTTTTGGCAACGTCAAGCGACGTTCTTGTAAGCACAGCTGAGCACGCGTACACGTGCCCGACGCCATCTGCTCGCGGCACGTTCTTTGCATTTGCGTGCGGGACGTGTAACATCTTTATTACGTACTGCAGCCCTTCGAATCGCTTGTTCCGCTCGGAAATTCAACGTCCTTCGAGAGAAAGATATTCGTCATTTTTTCGACGTCGGGATATACGGCGTTCCTGGACACCTTACGGAGGTAACCAACTGTCACCTCAGGGTCCCGCGATTAGCGTGGAATAATTATTCGTTATTCCCGAATTGGGGCGCAAAAAGCGTCCAACTGGTGGGTAAAGAGCGCGATAATTAATGAAGACGTTAGCTCACTCTGGGCCCGGCGACACAGAAAAAACCAATAATCCGATAGTCTCCGCGAGACGTTGATTTACGAGTGGCCGGTTTCATTACTCTTTTCGTTCTGGCCAGCGCCATCGATACCTTTCCCACCGGTCCACCCTTCCCGGCGCGACAATCGCGGGTACAGGTATAATCATAAATCCACGATTGTTCCTGGATTCCGCGCGGATTACACTGAGAAAGTGCATTTTATTTCTGTTTTAGGAGAACGTACGGAAGCCATGCAACGTGACGCCGGATACGTCTCTTCCGGATGTGACGTCAGGCACTGGGCCGGGCTCCTACTTCCGTTCTCGTGGTTTCTAATACTCGCACGAAACAGCCAAACTTTCCTGCAATAGCGCACACTCCGACAGTATTTCACGCGTGTTTCTCTCTCCCTCTTTCTCTGTCTTTGTATTCCGCCGTTTCGTGGACGGGAGAGAAAGTACCTAGAAATTTGACCAACGACGACTAGACCGTAAGTTAGCTACGTAAGGAATTATCGATAAGAGGGTAACGAGTCGCCATCCAGACGTAACAGATGTCGTCCTCGCGACGTTTCCGTTTGAATTTTCACCGATACGTTACGTCACCGTGAGTTACGGACCCGTGGAGGATCATTTCGGATTTATGGAGTGCTTCCATGGAACGAAATGGGGCAAAATATGTTTTTCTTTTTCGCTTCTTCGCGAACAGGCGGAATTACTCGATAACGCACTGCAGGAGTATTTAGAAATAATTGGGATGGTCGCGGGTGGTGTACGAAACGCTGATTGCGGTAAGCCGAGTGGAATCGATTACGCTAGTTGAACAGGAATCGGAGGATTATCGAAACGTCAGAGAGCCGTGCGTTTTCGCGAAGCGCTCTGTATCTGAGAATGCTTCCCGACCGATGCACCGAGATGGTTCGTTTGTTCTGTAATCGAGAGTAAAATTCGAATATTCGAGCTCGCAGAAGCGGAGATGGGAGGAGAACGGAGCTCGATCGGTTAACGTTATTTTCGAAGCCACTTGCACCCTGACGCTGCACGCGATGGCTCCCTTTAAGAATTATTAAGAGGATCGGAGCTGGCAAGTAATCCGGGGGCAATTCATCGGAAAAGTGGCAGAAACCGGGTTCGCTTCGGGGCCTGGTAAATTTATTTTTTACGTAAATAATTCAGTAAGTGAGCCGCAATGGCGCGCTCTCGATCTCGACGGCGTTGGAACGTCTTTTTCGACGCCCTCGCGATTTACGGCGCTTCTTCTTTGAGCCTGCCTCCTCCAGTCAATGGGATTAAAGTGGCCGTGTAACGTCAAAGGATGTGCAAGTAATTCGATATCCTGTATCTTAAGTCTGTCGATGCCTCTTCGGTGCCGGGAACGGCACTAATGAAATTTCTTTCTTCATTCGTAACTTGATTCGCGAAGCAAGAAAAGAAGAACGGAGAGGCAGCAAGATAACAGCCGTTTACCGTGGTCTCGCGAGGAAACGATCGATTGCAATAATCGAGACACACGGCCGGATCAACGCGAACCGATCGAGCCAAGTTTTCCCGAATTCATTTTTCGCGAGATTTTCCTGC